CAATCCTATTTGTCCACTAGAAGCATTTTTTAAAAAAGGTATTTTATTAAGAAAAAATAAGGTTACTTCAGGAATCATCAAAGTATTTAGATTTAATATCTTCTACAGGTATTAGGGATTTCCTATGTAAAACCCTATAAAAATTAATGTCTGAAGACCATCACATTCTAATTATTTATTGACATTCATGTGCTATACATTGAGGATAATATCATACATAAAAATACAAAGATGTGCTCTATCATGTCATGGGTCATTTCTTTAATGTAGTATACATTACCAATAAATGAGTGTTTGAGGCAAATATGAATCCCAGCGGAATCTTCAGATAAATATAAAATTGTTGATTATGCAGAATTATACCTTTGAAATAGATGTACAAATTGAAGTTCTGTGCATTGGCATATGACTGGACTGCTTTAATTATAATCTTGATATAATTCTTCTAATAAGATTGTTGACTATGTGACGGCTTATCATCCTATGAAATAAAAGGTCTGCATTTACTGCCCAGACTCACTTCTATGACCTTTTTATCATTTCTGAAAATGTTAAGTCATCCAAAACAGTAACCCAGGAAAGTGACACAAGATCTTTAAAAATGTGACAGTAACTTTATGATAAATACAAAACATCAATTTTCAAAGTAAATGATGTTACTCTGTATGGGATTTTGAACTACAAAGTATTCTTCAAGTGTGAGCACTTACAAAATGCTTATTTCTAGCATTTAAAAGTAGTTTTAAAATGTTGTAAAAGTCATTATAACACACATAAAGTTATTCTAATATCAAAGGAAATTTACGTTTGGTTTTCATACTGCCAAAATAGCAATAAACTACAGTTGGGCCATTTCAAATTTTAATTTTAGAAACATTAATTTGAATATATGGTGAATCACATGTCTAAATACATTATTAAAATGCTTTCTTAATCACACATTCTTGCTCCTTCAAGCATCTATTTAGCTTAATTTAAATGACTGAATAACGTTTAATCAGTTGCTCCTCAAACGAAATTAAATGCCAATCACGAAATCTGACAATGTTACTTTTACATAGATAAATAGACTAAAAGAGATAAAACTAAAATGTGTTGATTAGTTTTCATGTTTAATGAAACCATTTTTTAATTTAGCATTTTACTATTACATTAAACTTTGGAGAATTTAATAAGGAAAATCCATTGTATAAGAATGAAAATTTTAGAGATTTGCTTTCTGAATCTGCCTGTTCTCCCTGCTATTAAAGGTTTACTAGAAATGAAACAAAAGTTACAATTCTTTATATGCAAAAATACAAATCTAAAACAAGACAATAATTTTTCCTATTTGGTTTTGTGTAATCATCATTTTTAATAACTTCAAAATGATTTCCCTATAATTAATCTCTGAAGTTAAAGGGCATGAAGGGAAGATGTTGTCTTCTCTTTTGAAATTACAGTGGTGTTCACATTGACTTATCTAATATAACAATGAATGGTCAAGAGTTTTAGTATTACTATTCTCTAGTAGTTGAGATGATATTATTTGCCAATTTCTTTTTTGGAAGAACAACTTTAAATATTTCAATAATTGGCTTACAATATAATAGTTAATATAAGACATTGGTAAAGTTCTTGTTACGACTTCCTATACTATTCCATGTGTTATGGGATAATGTAGGACACATTCCAAGTTAAAATACATTAATTGAAACTTGTAGTCTTCCTCTCATATTTGACAGGGAGGGAGAAAATATTATTATTAATATAATTAAATTAAATTATTGTTATGCAGGAAAAAATGTCAATGACACCATTACAAATAGGCCTTTCATTCAACAATATATTATGAAAATCTGTTCATCAAGAGATGAAGATCAATCTCTTCTTTCAAATAAGAATAGTATGTGAGAGTTTCTGTTACTGCACATTAACTTTTCCCTGGTACCTTCCTCTCCTACTTTCTTTATACTTAGAAGAGCTAAGAAGTCACGAGTTGTGAAGGACATCCCTCTTTAGCCAGGTCTCCACTGGTACATCACTCATCTTCTTCGGGTACCTCCATACACTCTTCCCCTCCATCTTTCATTCTCTATCATGGCATCATTTTGTTCTTTCCCTACATGTCTTCTCTCTTATTGGCCTCTGGTTTCATCTGCCTTATTTTGTCTCTCTTGGATTTCCTATTTGCATCCACCCCTCTTTTAACTAAATAGAAAAGTCATAGAAATAAAGCTGATCTCAACACTAATTTCACTTTTACTTAAATATTTTTTACTTAAATATTTTTACTTAAATATTCAGATTTTTTGAATGACTTAAGGTATACATTTCTGTATATGAGTTACCTGAAGTCTTAAAACATCCTTGAAAAGCATTAATATATTTATAATTTTAACAACATGATTATGAAGGCATTTTGCATCAGTTAAATGTGGTAATTTTACTAATTTGATTTTCCCCAGAAATTGTGATTTTTCCTAAAAATTTCAATACAGATGCATTTCTTGTAGTTTTCCTGATCTTCCTTTACAAATTTTTAATAGAATATATTTCATAAATTTTTACAATTATATATTGCAATAGTTGTACCATAATTATAGAAAATGCATTTAATGAATAAAATACTTATAAAGAAAAGAAAATTCAATAGGCACATGTATCAAATCACAACCATATCTCTTCCTACATGTTTTATATTTCCCTGTCACCTTTATGACACACACACACACACACACACAAGCAAGTCAAAAAAAAAAAAAAAGATAGCACTGCAAATGCTGTTTAAGGAACAAATAAAACTTGATCAAATTAAAATAATCTAAAATGCATCAGATAACAGTATATAAAAATATATAAGACCACACCAGTCTCTGGATACACAGTAATATATCATTTTTCCCTTGAGTAAGTAATGCTAATAAAAATTCAAGAAAAGTTTTTGTTTACAGAAGAAAGCATCTAAATCACATCAAAATACTAGTCTATTTTTTAAAGGATAGTCATAGATTTTACTCAAGAATGTGAAAATTAATTATTAAGGAAGGAACAATTTCCTAAGTGCAATACTGTTCCACTTTAAGAATGGGCGTTTGTAAGAGAGGGGAGGGGAGAGAGAGAGAGAAAGAAGAGGGTGAGGGAGCAGCAAGGGAGCAAGACAGAATGGGATACAGAGAGACAGAGAGAAGGTTACTAAGAGGATAGGTTTTCATGTCTGCAATTATTTAAATGAGAGGGGTTCTGAATGGTAACCAATGAATTAGATGACCCCTATCTGAAGTCCCTTTTAACCCTTTGGTTTTGTGTACCAATGGAATACTTTGTGGTCAAAATAAAATTTTCTTTCTATTCTTGCAATCCATAATTGCTTGTTTTGTTGAGTGAACCATTATTCTTTGTGTTTGAAGGCCATCTATCTTCCTTAAGAAAAGCAGATATTAATAATCCAGGTTTTAAGCCTTAACTATGAATCAGGTAAGAGTTTTCACATGAACAGGTTTCTGTTTGATTGCTTAAACATAGAAGACTGCTCTAAAAAAAAAAAAGTAAAAGATTCCTGTTCTATAGTATTATCTTATTGCAGTAGTAAGCAACAGTTTGTATACAAGTTGTCAGCATGCTTCAACTATACAAAACAATTTGGATTTACAACAGATGTGGAAACTGAATTAGTTTTGGTTCACAGACTCAGAGATATTACAATTTAAAGTTGCCTAAGCAGAAGTTTTTGTTTGTTTGTTTGTTTGTTCTTGGCAAAATGATAAATAGCACTATTGTTTTACAACAAAATCCTTTGCTACTTTTAATCTGCTGATGTTGATTTCTTGGTTTGCATACCATTCTCATGAACCAAATCTGTGCTTTCCTAAAATATTACACATCAGGGATGGAATAAACTCTAAGAAGACTAATTCACAGGGTGTGTAAAAAGTCAAATAATCCTGAATATAGTTTTTGCTTTGTTTTAACTCAAAGAACATTGAACATAATTCGCTTCTCATATGCAAATGGACATTTATTCTCCAATGTACTTCTAAACTGAGATATGAAGGAGGCACACTTACAACCAGGGAAGCTGGCCATCATCATTTAAGGAATCCTCTCTTTGGAGGAATGGGATCCTTCCAACTGTTTGCCTCGGAGGAAGAGCTGACAGCATCCTCTCTAGAAAACCTGCCAACTTCTACATCAACCCCCAACCCAGTCCCGGCCCCAGCGTTTCATGCCCCACATTACCCTCTGTAGATAACCCAAAAGGGACGATCCCAGGAAAGTGACATCTGTCATTGTCCTTTTTGTAAAAATAAGATCCATCGACTTTCCTGTATCGTGTACCGGGGAGCTTTGCGCAGCAGGCATAAGCACACGTCCTCACAGACACTTGCATGCACGCGCGCGCGCGCACACACACACACACACACAAACACACCACTACCACCACCACCACCACCACACACCCCACATACTGTCACAACAAACACACGGGATGGGGATCGAATCACCCTCTGGGATGGATACTAGACTTCCGACCCCCTGCATTCCCCAAATGCTGTGTTTCGGGTTGCCAGCTTGGGAGCCCAGTTTACAGCTCAGCCAGCCCCCCCTCCCCCACCCTGGAGAAATCCCTTGGTGTCCGTGTTCAGGAGAAAACCTATCCGACCCGTACGGCCACAAAAGAGCAGGAAAGAAAACTAAGTAGAGAAATTAACAAATAACCATAAGCAGCCAAAAAGCCATGCAGCATATGCGCGAGAGGCTGGAAAGTTTCAGTAGAGGACTGCAAACTGAAGTTTGTGCGGGACTTTTTTTAGACCCAAGCCCTACCACTGAGCGCGGAGTAGAAAGGACCGACAATTAATGAGTCCTTCTAGTCCTCTTTCCCCACCGAATACAGCGTGAAGAGTAGAGGCAAGATAGCTACGACTCACTCACTATAAAGTTGGATGAGGTTGATGAGACATGCAGAAGAAGGCATTAGGGCGAAGAGAAGCGAGCGAGGGAAGAAATGAGCGTCTCACCTGGCATTGGTGCAATCGGTGAACAAAGTTTCGAAGTCTTTCCTGGTGATGAGCTTGCAGCGATTCACCCCTGGCTGGATAGCCCCCAGCCCGCGCAGGATCCGGACCTGCTCCACAGTACACACCACGGGGGATATGTCCAGTCTCTTCAGCTTGGTGTACACCGTGTGCAGCCCTCCCACCAGGTGCTTGAGGAAAAGATCAAAGACTTGCGGCAGGCAGATGAGTTCCTGGCCGTCCATCAGGAACGAAGCCACCTTCACCCCGTGCATGTCGACCATCCGGCATTCGTTGGTGTTGGTGTTGCCGCTGCCGCCACTGCCACTACCGACCACGCCACCCACTGCGCTGCCGCTGTGGTTATTGGCCATGAAACTGTTGATCATACTAGGGGTAAGACGAGGGGGCTCTCCCGAAGTCGAGTACAGGGGTTCGGCCCGAAACAACCCCCCCGGGACGCCGGCGGCGCTGGAAGTTGCAGAGATTACCGGAGGTGCAGAGACAGCCATGGTCACTCCGTCTCAACTGCGGGTCCTCCGACCCTCGCTTTCTCGCCCTGACTCCTTTAGGTCCTCTCTCACTCACTCCCCTCACTCTCGCTCTCTCTCTGGCGCGCGCTCGCTCGCTCCCAACTGTTCTCAAGTCTCCCGCAGCCCGGCTCACGCTCAAGCTCACCCACCACCCAGCAAACTGTGAACAGCCCCGACCCACAGCGGCCCGAGACCCCACCCCCACCACACCCCCTCCCGAGACTGGCAGCGCCCCCCAGCCAATGGGTCCCACCCCCTAGGCGCCCGAGCGCGCCGAATGGCTGCCGGCGGCGAGGAGGTGGAGACTCCCTGGCTGGCCTCCGACTACCTGAGGCCTTCCAGCGCTCGCCCGTGAATGGAGATTGAGCTCGAGAAGGGGGCGGTGTGGTGCCTCAGGTTCTGGCCAGAGTCTGAACAGAGAACGTCCAATTTCCCACAGAGCCCTCAAAGTACCCTACGCTAGGAGCGCACCCCCTTTTGCTGCACGGGTGTTGGGATGGGAACACAAAGCAAGACTCCCGAACGTGCCTCCCAGACCCCTCCCACCACCCCGCACTCAGGTTCAATAGAGGAAAGTGGAGTGGCAGCTCCAGTTCCACTCGCTCATTGCTCCGAAACTCTGAAGACACTGATAGGTGGCTTCACCCAGCTTCCTGGGGAAAGACCCCAGCGAGTTCAGAAGTAAACAGCTCAGCCCTGCTCCAGCACTAGATATAAGTTATCCCATACCCAGCGCAGAGAGGGACGGGCGTCCGAGACCGCACTCACCGCAGCGTAGCGGGTTGCTAATCCGCGCCCTCGCACTGACATTCAGGAAGCGCGGTGAGCTGTGAACACTTACAGAAACAGAGACTTGGCTTGTGGGTGGCAGATGGACGCCTCATTTTACAACACTTCCGCCACTGTCCTGGAACACACTCCTCTTTCTCTGTCCCCATCCGTTAGTCTCAGGCTTGCCCTGCCCTACCCCTGCACCCCCACTCCCGATACATTGATAGGAAAGATCCCTTTATGATTCAAAAGTCATTACACAAAGTGAGAGCAGCGGCAAGTGTTCGCAAGCTTGAATGTTACGATTTTCCTCCCTCGCCTGTGGTCTTTGAAGAGGCAGTGATGAGAGCTGCAAGTCCTAAACCGTAGCTCAAGATTCTTCCCCTACTTGTCGAATGCCCCAAACTTACTACGAGATCTCCTAATGAACAAAATGTCTGAGGATACATTCCAGGGAAAGAGTATGATTTTTCCACACAGTGTACGGTGGTTAGATCACCTTAGCGAAGTTGTTTTAAGACTCCCAAAACTGAAGAATTTGATTCTCTGAAATCAAGGTATTTCCTTTCCTGTACTCTCCTCTAGAGGCTAGTTATGTGTAGAAAACGTTGCATTCGATACAACTAAGGCATCTTCTCTCGCAGAATGTAAATAATTTTAGAAACTTTCTGGTTGTGATTCTCAATATCAAAAAGAGGAGTTACTGGCCTCTTTTTGCTCCCTTAATACATCATAAATGTCCTAAGTTGGATATTTCAGCCCAGTTCTACAGTGTAATTTCTTCTTTTGTCATTTAATCAACCAAAAATTAAGAACTTCCCTTTGAATCTCATCATACTATTTCAGTTTCAAATTGATTGCGGTCAGAATGCTAAGAAGCTGTGATGATACTTGCTTTTGGAATACAGTGATCTGTGACTCCAACATAATAGACTGGAATGTATGCAGGCACACAACATTTTTAAAAGGCATCTGATTGGTTTTTGCCATATTGGTACTTTCATGGGAAGAAAATAGGGGGCAAAAAAGGACAATTGAGAACCCATAGCAGTGGAAGAAAAAGTTTCACCTAAAAGTTGAGGTTTTCAAAAAATAGAACAGGCCGGTGCCATGGCTCACTTGGTTAATCCTCTGCCTGCGGCGCCGGCGCCTTGGGTTCTAGTCCCGGTTGGGGCTTCGGATTCTGTCTCTGTTACTCCTCTTCCAATCCAGCTCTCTGCTGTGGCCCAGGAGTGCAGTGGAGGATGGCCCAAGTCCTTGGGCCCTGCACCCCATGGGAGACCGGGAGGAAGCACCTGGTTCCTGGCTTCGGATGGGTGCATCGCGCAGTCCGTAGCAGCCATTTGGGGAGTGAACCAACGGAAGGAAGACCTTTGTGTCTGTCTGTCTCTCTCTCTCTCTCTCTCTCACTAACTCTGCCTGTCCAAAAAAGAAAAAAAATAGAACAACACAGAAATATCTGTGCAAGGAGCCTTCAAAAAGTTCATGAAAAAGCATATTATTTTAAAAAAATCTATCCATGGATTTCAATTTTGCACCAAATTAAACTTATCTTATAATTCTACTTTCCATGAACTTTTTGAAGTGCCCTTGTAATTACTTGTTTTTTAAGAGCAACATCTCAGGTTATGTTTAAGAGGTATTTTGACAGAAATGGCTATCAAAAAATGTATTGAGATAACTTGCCTTTGATAACTCGTGATTTAATTTTCCAGGTGAATAAGTTTATCTGTAAAGAAAAGGTACTTTGAAATAGCTTTAATTATATTAAAAGTCCTAAGGCCAGCCTTCTCCCTCTGTATAGATTCCCCTACATTATCAAACCTTTTTATTTGCAGAATGAAAACAAAGATGGAGAAAAACCAAGGAAACAACACTTGGCCTCTTAGATCTAAATGATAAAATATTTACTCATCTATATTTAGGATTTTCAGAAATAGGACATTACACATATATTTTGAGGTTTCAAATTTAAGAAATTCTGAAGTATCAAAACAGAACATTCGTTCAAGCTGTAATCACTATTTCCGGTATTGAAAAACAAACATACTTTGACAACTCTGAAAGAGGACTGAATTAAATATTTACATTTCAGTGTGATCTATCAGGTTGAGAGTAGTATTCTAATTAAATTATAAAACAGAGATTAAACTATAAATTCTAGTAGAAATTGTAGGATTTCAAATTAGCCACTGATCACTGAAGGGTTAAAGTCCCTTGGAAGCTCTCGATACACAAAAGACTCTTGGAGTCATTACTGGAATTTCTTCCCATTTCATCTAGAAAATAAACTTGGTAATTTTTCTTAAGTGATACTTGTAATTTAAACGTTTAGTCAATTAGATCAAAGAGGCCAGGTGTTGTCTCCTTGGGTTTTCTTTTTTGATTACTCTATTTCTACTATTATTATTATCTATGCTTTGATATTGAAGGGCTCAAATTTCACACAGAGAGTTTGTTTTTATATCTTTCTGACTTTAATGTCTTCCATAAACCAAACATATATCTAAATAAGGTTGGGCTTCTACAAGGCCAGAGGAAGATTTGCACATCAACACCTTGTAATTTTGGAATTGCATGAAGCAATATAAAATCATAAAGCTTGTAGTAAACAGAGTACCCTTGGGAGATGACTCTCCATGGAGAGAGACACTGCATTAAAACTAAGAAAATACTCAAGGATTTGAATTAAAACCAGAGAGGAGTCAAACAGCATAGCAATGAGAGTAAAATGAATACAAGAAGATACGATATCTCATCAGAACAAAAGTTCTAGACACCACTAAATCCAGTGGAATGATTTGGGGCTGCAGTGTAGCTTCTCAAACACCGAAACGCTATGAGATTCCAGGATTTAATTAGCAATTTATACCTTCTCCTAATTCATACTCAGTTTAGAGGAGAGGATTCTCATCTGTGACGTTAGGCAAATATTCCACTTTGACACTGTCAGTGAAATACAGGTGCCATTTTAATTAAAAATTACAAACACACATGAACACACATAGATATAGCATTTGGATATTCTGTGGCCCTGCGTAAGTCCGGAACTATTTGAAAGGGCTTGTTTTCAGAATGGGCATTCAAGCAAATCCTAAGGCAATAAATGGAATTATTTGAAACCCTCAGCCAACTGAGGTTACAACCTCTAATATGGCCTCTAAGCAGAAGCTCCCAGGAGCCCTCTAAGGTTCATTTTTAGGCAAACAATAAAAGGAAATTGATTGGGCAGGGCAATAAATGTGAAATGAAAGCATTCATATGACTGAGAATTTAACTGGCTAAAGCCTATAGGTATATGCCATTCTGTGTTTTCCTAGGAAACTGGCTATAAAATGATCTTCCAAAACATACTTTTTTTCTCATTCAGTACAATGTTAAATTGAAGATGAGTTCCAAGGGAGGGGGACCACTGGAGCCAGAGGTAAATTGGGCAAAACCCAAAGAGTAACAGTTAAAATCAGATGCTTACAAAAATGAACATTTTATTACTGAAGTATCAAAATAAATTCTCAAAGTACTCCATAGAGTACTTACAATATCCCATGCTGCACTGCCCCAGGGGAAAATGAGATAAATATCTTGAAATTCCATCTATATTTCTCAGTGTGTTGTTCCCCTTTAAATCTTAGGCTTTTAACTGTTCAAATTCAAGCCATTCTTACTTCAGTTGAACTCCCACTGCTACTTGGTATCCTTTTATTCATATTGTTGATTCCCTATAGAATTCCCTGCAGTAGTTAACTCCAGCTCTTTTCTATTTAATAAGCCACCCTCCCCCTCACTTATCTATGATTTTACCACTAAGTTATTCTACAGGAGTGTCCAACCTCTCTTCTTTCCTCTTAAACCCATTTTCCGCTTTCTCTCTCATCTTCTACTTCCCTTATCTGCCTTCGTTGATGTTCCTGATTCCTTTTACCTCCTCCCGGTGGCAAATCTACCAATTTTATCCCACCTCTCTCTTCTGCATCCTATCTCTTCCTCACTACTTGTTCTTTTCTCGTTTATTATAGAAAATGTTCAAGGTTAAAAGTCCTTACGACAAACAAAAACTTTCCTCAACCCTAACAAATGTTTCTAAGAGTGTGATCTGCTGTTCACTGGCATCAGTATTACCGGGGTACTTGTTAGAAAAACAAACTATTTGGCCTTAATCAAGACCTGGTGAATTAGAAACTGGCAGTTAGGCCCAGCAGTCTGTGGTTTAACAAGACCTTCAGGTGTTTCTGATGTAGGTTAAAGTTTGAGATACACTTGCCCTGGAGTTTCCAATCTTTTACAAACTTTCTGAAAATCTGCAGTTGTTTCTATTCTTTACCATTCTTTTGTGCTATAACTATTTTCAATTTGATTTCTTACTATGATTTGGCTGAAACTACTCTACCAAAGGTG